CTATGTGTACCGCGTGGTTCTTGCTGGCGAGACGGTAGCGCGGGACAGTATACCACAATTTATCCATTTTGCTGTTAATGGGTATTGAATATGTTTCCACTGTTTGGTTGAAGGCATGCTTTCAGGAATATTGTACATATTTTTTTAGTGTGCTCCTATATGCATTTTGGTGGTGATTCTCTTTGACCTAACTCACTGGTAGAATTTTTAGGTTCCTGTGACTTTGGAGGTCACTATGAAAGTAGGTCAAATATGAAAGGGAGGAACGCTTCCCAAGAAACATGGTTTCAATGAATGAGACAGATACTGTTCGTTGGCAACTTTGGGTTCTGTGTGTGTGTTATGTAAACATGTTCCTGTGTCTCTGCGTGCGTGTGTGTGTATTACATGTAGAACTCTGGTTATCTCCCCTGGTCCTCTTCATTTTATTTTTGAGAGTCTCTCACTGAACCTGGGGCTCCTGGATTTGGAAGGCTGACTGGGCAATGAGCTTTAAAAACCTGTCTCACTCTCTCAGCACTGGGGTGACAGACACATACCACACCAGGCTTTTTACATGGGTCTCTGTACTTGGGTGGCAGACATTTTATCTGTTGAACCATCTCTCCAGCCCCATGTTGGGGCTTTTTACAACTTGAAGCCAAAAGGTAGAGAAAAGGGCACTCTTCTGGTAGCAGTAAGTAAGGGATCCAATTAAGAGAAGGAATTTGGATTGCCGCTGCTCAAGGGAATACACTGTATTTGGAACATAGATTTTTTCATCAAGATTTCTCTCTATCCTCTGGCCATGGCCTACTGGTCCACTAATATATAGAGTGGGAAGTGGAGTTATTGCCCAAGGGCCGCGACTAGGACTCAGATCTTCCAGCAGCACGTGTTTCAGTCACCCTGCCTTAGGGAAGAATTCCATCCGACGCAGTTGTTGAGAGGATACTAGCTTGTACAGTAAACAAAAGCAGCTGCGTCTGAGAATCCAGACAATAGGATCTGCTGAAAAGTGGGATCTAGAAAACACATTATTTTTCTCCACTGTGTGTGAAGCTAGACCAAGACCATTAGTACTCTAAGCCCACCAGAATTTAGCTGGGTCTAAAATGATTCAGGCATTACAAATTCTGATCTATATATCATGTGGGTTCTTAGACTACGTATATTAACTGAAAGCTTGAAGTTGATGAACTCTGAATTTCACATACACACTTCCTATTCGGTCCTATGAAGTTATGGCAAGCTCTACTTTGTTTTCCAGTTGCTTGTGGAAGAGCCAGATGGTTTTCTGGAAAAAACCCCAATTACTGGGCCATAGTTCTGAATCTTTGTATTACGTCAATGAACTCTTGCAGTCTTCACTAATTTGGCAGCTTCCCAATGCCTTTAAAAACATGTATGTTTGTTTTATTTTGGTTTAGCTTTTCTTGTTTGCAACAAAAGTATGAGCAAAACTTAGTTCTTCACTATCAGAAGTAGAACCTAAAGAATCCTGTCTTTCCTGTCTCTGTCTCTTATACACACACACAGTCACTCACTCATTCTGGGTAACTCAGGTTGGTCTCAAACTGCAGTACTGCCTCTGGAGTGCTGGAAGTACTGACATTACACACCATGCTGGCCTCTGATTATCTCCTGTACAATAACACAACATTGATAACTTCATTGTGCAACATTGTAATGAAAGCCATACTTTATATGGTTGCTATATGCAAAAACAGACTTGAGAAAGAAGAGTAGAAATAGAAATCCAAGAGGCATCCACAGTAATGAATCAAATATGAGTTGATGAGAATCACCATAGAGAATGCAAAGAATGCTCAAGTTAGAGTCACAAGACTGGTAATTACATTGATTCTGTCACCTCTGGTAGGTCATTTAATCTGTCTGATGCTGCTTCCTTATTTACAACCAGTCACCTCATAGGCCCTAAAATATTTGGATGAAATATTAACCACTTCTGTTTAACCTATGGAATTGTCATTAGTAATGAAAAAATACGTTATACAATTTAAAATGCAGTGTGCACTGGAGATTGATGAAGGAAAAATTATGAAAGACAGATTAATATATTGAGTCTTAGTGACTAGAGAAAGATATTTACCCTAAACAGGTCAGTCAGGATAGAAAATGATTTTTTTATAACCAAGGCTAGGATTAATGAATATATAATGGTTTAATTTTAATTATAGAAATGTCCAGCAGGCAGTTAGCTAATAGCATATTAATATATTCTTAGATATTTTCAATGTGAGATTATTTAATTTTTAAGTTCTTAAAAAGATGTTACCTTCAAGAGGATCTTTATTCTCTTAATTAAAAACAACAAAAATTCACACATTTTACTTACTCAGGTTTGTTTTGTAAGATTCACTGAACATCTGCTAGGGAAAGATCTCAAAGGTGAGAAGGGGAAGTGTTGGGAGTAGTCAGGGGAGGTATATGTATCAACCTGTATACATGTATGAGTTATTGAGAAAAAATGTTCTAGGTTCTTCCCTAGCTGCTGTCCTTCGCGTGTATCATGCTAGTTATCACCTCTAGTGCCTTAGGTGCTTGTGTCTCAGAACTTGGGTCTGGATTTAGGTAAGGCTCACATGGGTGCCATTGTTTGAGGCTCTCCAGTGGTACACAGTGATGGCCTAGGCTTGAGACCAAGATGGCTCCATTCGCTTGTCTGGTATGTCAGAAGAGTAGTCTCTCCAGCATGGTGACACTCCCTGGCATCCCTGCCTTCTATGCTTGGAGGATCTCCTGAAAGCCAGGCACTGCTGACCTGCATGTCACCCGCCTTGTTTTCTATGCCTACATGTTAGAATATGTCCTCCAAAGTTCTTATGTTGAAAACAATTCCCAGCTCAGCAGTCATTGAAAGACAGGGTCTAATAAGGTGATTAGGCCATGAGGTCTTTGCCTTCAGTAATGGATTAATAGCATCGAGTGAGTTGGTTGGTTCTTAAGAGAATTTGTAGTCCTTTTGTACTCCTCAGGCCTTGTCTCCTGGTCTTACATGGGCTTGCTGGTCTTTCCACCATGTTATGAAAAGGAGGAAGGTCTTTACCCAGATGTCTCCAACTGATCTTGGATTTCCTAGCTTTGGGAAATATGAACTGAGTAGTTTATAATTTAAAAACTCACATGCCTGATGTGTTGTTTCTTATGTCTGGGCCTTTCATTTAGACACAAAATGTAAGATAGTTTCTGTTCCTCTTTAAAAAGTTAGTTTCTCTTGGTGTTTTTAAAAATTAAATGGACGAGCAACCTTAGCACTAGGTCTATCTTTACACTAAGTCTATGTGATTGTGTCTGGGCCGCCATAGCGACTGACCGACTGGCCAGTGCTAAGAGGGTAGCAGCATTTCTCTATTACGAAGCAGGCTTGGAGGCTGAACACACTCTCCTTGTGTGTCTTTTCCCTTTTGCTATGTTAGTTTGAAGCAGGATCTCTTGGAGTCCAGGCTAGCTTCAAACTATAAAACTGGCTTTGAATTCCTGATCCTTTTTCCTCTGCCTCTCGAGTGCTGGGATACAGTTGTGCATTACCAAGCCTGGCTCTGCCCTTGCCATTTTATTCTAACTTTCCTTAAATGAAGAGATTTGGTTGTACAGAATTTGGTTTTACAGAGATATTTTATTTGCCTAGTTTGTTTTCACCCAGCACATTTATGAATAACATCCTTCCTAATTCTACATTAAATAAAAGTCTTATGTTTTTACTTGAGTTCCTAGAAATGAGTTGGCATTTCCTCTTACTTAGAAATAAGACCTGAGTTTCTCAGTCTTAGGGAACCTTGAATTGAGAAGCAGAAGTCAATATGGGAAACTATTCTGTAGCAAAAAACTTTATGAAGTTGAAATCTCCGGTAATTGCAGCTTTAGTTGTTCCTTATAGACACTAAGTCAGTGAAATTTAGAGGGCTCTGTCATAGGTAAATCTCAAAAGTCAGAAAAGGTATACTGTATCTCAAAATTCTAAAGAAATGCAAAGTAGAGTTGACAAGATGACTCAGCAGGTAAAAGTGATTGCCACCAAGTCTGACAACCTAAATTCAATCTCCAGGGTGGTGTGGGAGAATTGTCTGTATCTGTCAATCATATTTTAATAAAACGCTGATTGGCCAGGCAGGCAGTATAGGCGGGAAAGCCAGACAGGAATTAGGGGTGGAGTAAAGAGACTGGGAGTATTCTGGAAGCAGAAGCTCCCTCAGCCATTTCTGCGCAGACCACTGAAGAGGCAACATGTAAGCTGACAGCTGAAAAAGGTACCAAGCCATATGGCTAACATAGATCAGAATAATGGGTTAAGATAAGTCATAAGAACTAGTAAGTAGCCTGACCTAATGGGCCAATCAGTTTTATAATCTTATGGAGTCTTGTGTGTGATTTTCATTGGGGTTTGCCGGATGTGGGGTACCAGGTGGGACAGATACCCCAACCAGCTGGCCCTCATGTTACACCAGGGCCTGCAATGGTAAAAAGAGAACTAACTCCCAAAAATTGTCCTCTGACAATGGCACACATGCTCACACAGACACAGAATAAATATTAAAGAAAATACAAACTAATTCATTAAAAAAAAAGGCCAGTGGCTTCCTTTGAAAAGGGAGATGAGAAATAATTTATACATACATATATAAGCACAAAGTAACACGTCAGTGCACACTTTATTTGGTGGTACTTTCTCTGGCATATAAAAATGTAAGTTACTAAGTTCTGTGCCTTAAGCATATGACTTGTACGAGTCAGTTATGTTTCTATGAGGCTGTTAAAATGTAATAATCTAGCTATGGCACATATGGGGCAATAAGGGAAAGGCAATTACTTTATTCTGAACTAAGTACTTTTTTTTTTTCAAAAATTTCCCCTACTAGAACCTTTCAAAGTTTCATTTCTGTTGCTTTAATGAATATCTTGACAAAAAAGCAAGACAGTGTTTAAAGTGTTAAAGAAGAAAGTGTTTATTTGGCTTACACATACGAGCTGTATTTAACCCTGTAAACACAAGGGTTAAAAGAAAGTACTCCTGCTGGGCAGTGGGCGGGTACCTTTAATCCCAGCACTCTAGAGGCACAGGCAGGCCTGGTCTATAAAGTAAGTTCCAGGACAGTCAGGACTGTTACACAGAGCCTTTGTCTTGAAAAAACTAAACAACCCCCAAAACAAACTAAAAACATACATGAAAGCACGGGTGTAGGCGTCTCAAAGGCTTTGATACACCTTGTGTATCCTCCACATGGCTTCCATCACACCTTGTGTATCCTCCACATGGCTTCCATCACACCTTGTGTATCCTCTACATGGCTAGCATAGATATTTTTTCTTTTTGAATGAAATCCAATCAAGCCTTTTTATGTAAAAAAAAAATTATTCCATTCCATCGACTTCAGAATAAAAAGATTTCAAGACTTAGTCACATATTTCAGTCTTGTCTCAGTGGTGCACAATAAGGGCACACACGCAGCCAAAGTACTTGTTGCTTCCCAAACTTACTAGGTTATCTTGAGACTTTCAATGTTGTTTCTACTGCCCATGAGCTTTCCTTTTTCCAGCTCTGCTTCACTTTCTCATTTACACTGCTCTGGTTAGAAAACAAATTATTCTATCAACAATCTGTATTACGTTAAAATTTGGTCTAAACTAGTTATGATGGTGTAGCCTGCAATCTCAGCACTCCAGAATCTAACACAGAAGAATCAAACTTAGGCCAGCCTGGTACATGAGTTTGAGGTCAGTCTTGAATTATAAGTGGATTAGTGTTTTGTTTTGTTTTGAATGTGTATGGGTATTTTCCCTACACATGTATCTGTGTACTGCATGTACTGTGGTGCCTGTGGTGGACATATGACCTCCTGGGTTACATCTGGAATTACAGATGGTTGTTGGTTGTGAGCCACAGTGTGGGTGCTGGGAATAGAAACCAGATCCTCTGGAAGAGTCCAGTGCTCTTTCATTGCTGAACCATCTCTCAAGCTCCTGAGATTGTTTTTAAAAACTGTACGTGTAAGTTATGTTTGTTGAAAGGCAGAATGCCTTTGAAACATAAGAACATTATAGTGACTTTATTTCAAGCTAACACATAAAAGTGCTAATTAATTTTGTGAAACTAAGGGACAATAATAGTATTAAACTGAATTCTGTGTTCTAAAGCAAAAGCAAAGAGGAACGCATTAATTACAGTTTCCCAAAGAAATACTGGAATTGGCTCTGACACTATCACGAAGGCCACTAAGTCCCAAAACGTTACTTTTATATAATGTTGAACAAGTAAAGGTAGTTGGGATAATTCAATCCAAGTCTGAGGGTCCAGAGGGTCGAGTGGAGGGAGTTATAGGAGCTGCATTGTGAATCCAAAGGTCAGAAAACCACAAGTACTGATGTCCACTGGGGCCGTAGAAGATGCAAGTAAGAAAAAAGAAGCAAGTTTCCTTTCCTCTGCAATTGAATTTTATTCAAAATCTCAATGAATTGAAAAACTCTTGTTTGCATTGAGGGCAGGCTTCTTAGGTCTCAGTCCACTGATTTCAAAGGGGAATCTCGCTCAAGAATACCCTAAGGATTCACCAGGAATAGTTTTTTACCAACCATCTGGGCATCCGTCGACCCAGTCAAGTTGACACATAACGTGTCAAAGTTAGCCATCACAAATACTTTTCATATAGCTGGGATGCTGTCCCTTCCCTAGAATAGGTTTTTGAAAAGTGTTTACTTTTCTCTTAACTTAAATATTATGATATAAAATTAACAAGATTTAAAATACTGATAAGGTGTTAATACATACTGTATAACATGATAGAGTAAGAAAAGTAATTGCTTAATATTTGTAGATATATAAAAAGTACATATGTACACACACATGAATTCATTAAAAAAAAATTCATGCCAAGCAAGAGAAAAAGCTTTCCTGCTTACTTTTTGTTTGCAGGGATTATTTCAAGGATAGTTTAAGTTAGCTTGTAACATTTTCCTTCCTACTTGTTTCTGCAGATCTCATTTTAGCCTGGCCTAGAACTCAGCAGTAGCCCAGGCTGACCTTAATTCATGATCCCCTTGCTTTGCTTCTTAGGTGCTGGGATTACAGATGTGTGCCACCAGATGCCAGTATTCTGTTGTTTAGTGCAATTCTGTTCCATAGATACATTACCCAAATCAACTGCTAAGTATCTGGGTTGCTTGTTTTTGAATATCATGACTAATAGCAACTATGAACATTTGTGTATATGTTTCCTGTAGGAAAAAAAATACACTAATTTTTTCTTCTAATCTCAAAGATTTGTGCATGGCTCATTACTGTCCAAACCCTACCAATTTAAGATTGAAATGATGTTTTCAACATGAAAGCACAGCTTTTGTTTTGAAACCCTGTTATTATGTAACCCAGGTTGGCCTCCAACCAGAGCGCTCCTTCCTCTAGCTCCGGTGCTGGGATTACAAGAGTGTGACACCATGCCCACCCAAAATACAATTTTCTCAAGCAGTATTAATTGAACTTTGTAAGAACGATATTTTATTTAAAAAAAAATGATGTTTTAAACCAGAGAGTATAAATTTAATTGGATTTTTATGCAAGCAATATATATGTTTCACTTGGGCTCCAAATCATGTATTTGTAGGATATGCAAATAAGCTTTAAATATAAAATCTTATATTTTATTGCGTAAATATGTATTGACTGAGGATGCTTTTTAGACAGGGTTTCATGACATACATGCTGGCCTCAAACTTTAAAAAGATTTATGCATTGAGTGTTTTGCCTCCATGTATTTATTTAATACATGCATGCCTGGTGCCCATGGAGGCAAGAAGGCAACAGGTCCACTGGAACTGGAGTTAAGGATGGTTGTGGGCCACTGTGAAGATGCTTTGTATTGAACCTCATCCTCTGGAAGAGCGACAAGAGTTCTTAACTTCTGAGGATGACCTTGAATTCCTGATCCTTCTGCCTCTATCTCCTAAGATTAGGATTATAGGCCTTCAATGCCATACCCAGATAAAACATTGTATCTTCACTAAAAAAAAAAAATTGAATTTCTTCAATTAATGATGTAGAAGATAAACACCATAGTTTCAGCCAAAGCTACTTTTCAATGTATGTTAATGTATCATCACATTACAATTTTCATAAATACAGACAATACCATTCTCTTCATCATTCTTTCAAAATGTGGGTCTTTATTAACCTATTAGATCCAACTGTGTTTATTTGTATTTCTTCTGAGTAAAGAGTTTTACATATCCTAAGCAGACCTTGAACTTGAAACAAGAATAGGATAAACTTCACCACACCCACTGCTGCTCTAACCCCGAGTGCTGGGGTTACAGGAACTGAGCGTAGGGCTTCATGTGTGCTCTGGACACACACTGAACCCACTGAGCTGTTCTGTGTCTATAAAACTTACTCATACCATGTTTGCTTTCTTTCTCTCTCTCAGTTTTTCATGACAAAGTTTCGCTGTGTAGCTTAGAGCCCATCCTGAAACTCACTCTGTAGACCAGGCTGGCCTTGAACTCACAGAGATTCTCCTACCTTTGCCTCCTGAGTGCTGGGATTAAAGGCATGCACCACCACCATCCAACTCTTGCTTTCTCTTAAAAATGATAACTGTACTTCAAAGTCTTTATAGTATGAAGTTTAATATACGTATCTATAAATATGTATGTGTATTTATATATGAAACATTATTTTGAGACAGGTCAACAGCTTTAATGAACTGCCCACATATTTTTAAACACAAGAACTCTGACCTTGGGCTGGAGAGATGGCTCAGTGGTTAAGAGCATTGCCTGCTCTTCCAAAGGTCCTGAGTTCAATTCCAGGCAACCACATGGTGGCTCACAACCATCTGTAATGATGTCTGGTGCCCTCTTCTGGCCTGCAGGCATACACATAGAAGAATGTATACATAATAAATAAATAAATATTAAAAAAAAGAACTCTGACGTCAAATTTGTCCCACTATGCTGTGCTTTGTTGCATAGCTATGAAGTTTCAGTGTACTTTTACGTTGAAACTTGTTAGATTAGGGTAACGAAAACTGGTTTATTTGAAACTTCTTCATTGTCCTCCCTTTATGTTAAGTTCCTGATTGGTAGGTTCCAGTGTTTCCCACTAATCACTGCACCCTGGCTTCCGAAGGTACAAATGGAAAAAGAAGTCAAATTAGATTCAGCTGTCAATTTAAAACACAAATATAAAACTCCATTTAGTAAATCTGAAGTTAAAATGAATACCTGCTTTCAACTTAATAGGTCTGTCCCCTTTGTATGACAAGAACCTGTGCCCTAGTTTCTTCATTTGTAAGAAAGAGCTTATTTGTAGAAATAAGAACAGTGCCTGGTACATCATTTTCATTAATATAATCTCTACATATTATTACTTCAATATATTGCACATTCACCATCATGTATTTGTTCAGTTAAATGTATGAGCTGTGGTTGATAACTGAGCAAGGAGCAGCAGTGTGTGGAGGGGGTAATGAGGACACAGTTGGCGTATGTATGTATGATATTGTCACAGGGAAACCCATTATTTGTATGATATCATAAAAAGGTAAGCATTGATGTAACCTGTCCAGCCTACAGTGTCAGTGTCCATTCACATTATGACATTTAAAACACAGCAGCTGAGAAAGGGCAGGCATCATTTATCTAGTAGTGAAGAAGGAAACCTGTAAGATGTGGAACCAGACCAGTGTCATAAATAGGAAAGAGCAGTAAGAACTCCCATCTGGGTTTCTCCCAACACCCCAATGCCTAATTCTTTGCTTCTACTTAAACTGGTTAACCTGAAGACAGAAGAATGGATTGTTTTCAGGGAGGAGGAAGTGTCAGAGGTGGCCAGGAGAGCATGAAGTAAGTACTCAGCGTTTTATAACTCAGAAGTGGTCCACATAATCTCTATCAGTTGGGAGCTTGTTGTAATGTATAATCCCGGGCTTCTCCTCAGGTTTACTAAATCAAAATCAGCATTTTAAACTACAGGTGATTCCTATGGACACTATTTGAAGCAGCTGTATTCCACTAATTGGCTATAATACATATTATATAGTGTGTATACATGTATATGTATAGTACAGAATATATACCCTTATTCTTAGATTGTACCTTAGAGCCTTCGTCACTTTTTATCATTTTAATTAGAGAATATTGTCTGCAACAGAATTTTCAAAATTCAACTTATTTCCATGTATTCCTGAATGATTAGAAAACCCTAAAGTAGGTTAACACTTTCTGTCTTTAAAAAATTAAAGGTTTAGTTTTTAACCTAAAGGATACACTAGATGACAAACAGCCCTCTACACCTTAAACACGGCAGATTAAAAACTGGGCAGTGGTACACTTTGAGATCTCACCCACTGAATTTAATCTAGACTTATTCCCTCATGTTTTGCCACTTTGGGGCTCAAAAACTGAAACGGCAACGGGAGAAAGAAGATTCTATTCCTCTCGCTGTTCCACACATGACTTTGCCTGACATGGGGGACCAAGGCTCAATGCAATCCGATCACAATTAAACCGCATTGTTAAGGTTGTGATAATGCAGACCCCTGCAGGCCGCTGCTCGGATTGGGCCCTCGGGGTTTAGCATGCACATCGTCCCGCACGTGGCAGCGCTATCAGCACTCAGCCGGGATCTGTTTCAAATTACCGTCCCTAATTTCAGGGGAGCCTCCTCCCGCGGCTCAATCCCTCCGAGGACCACGGGAAGAAATCTCCATCACCTGGGCCACCGGAAACCGGGACCCCGCGGCCCCTCCCACAGCGCACCCCCGATTGGACGCCGAGCGGGAGCCGCGTCTGCGCGCGAGCGCCGGCCGGCCTGGGGAATTCCATTTCCTCTCCCGCCCACCAGCATCAGCACTCAGGGGCGGTGCTCTCCGCCCAGGACCCGCCCAGTGAGAACTTGGGGGGGGGGGGGAGAGAGGACCGGCGCGTCTCGCGATAATTTGCGGGTTTGGGGGCGGGCCCCAGGCAGGAAGAGAGCACAAAACTGCCCTTAAGTCATTGCAGCCCCGGAGCTCCGGTGAGCCTACCACGAGGTTCTCGCGAGATCCGCCGCCTCCATTCCAAGTGAGGAAACCGGGGGCCACTGTAGGGAGGGGCGTGGGGCCTCAACCGCGCAGCTGCCGCTTCCATTACCTTCCTCCTAAGGTCTCCTTCCGGTTCTCGATGCTTCTCTGGGTCTAAGGGTTTCCGCCACTCGTCTACCCTCCCCCTCAGCCCATGACCCGCCTCCGTCCCCCGCCCTCCCGGCCCGACCTCCGATCAGTCTAGTAAGAAGGTGCTGTCCCGACCGGGAGACGGCAAGAGGGTGGCGCGTCCAATCGGGCCTGGACGAGGGAGGCAAACCGCTCCCTTCCAACCCTCGGCTCGCCCCGCGCTCGCGACGGCGGCGTTGGCGGACGGATACGCGGCGGTGAATAGGCGGGCGGCGGGGGGGGAGGGGCGGAGCGTGGCAGCTGGCAGTAGTTCCGTCAGAGCGGACATCTTGTGGCTGTGCCGTGCGCGTGAGCCCCGTAGGGCCGGGGAGGCACCAGCTGCCGCGCGGGGAGGAGGCCGAGGCCGCAGCTCGAGGGAGGCCCCGGCCCTCTGTACGCGTGGGGTGTGGACGGCTCGGCCGAGGGGGGTGAGAGGGAGGGCGGGGGGGGGGCCGGTGCGGCGCCCCGGGCTGTGGGCGGCCCGAGTGGGCAGCCCTCGGGGCGGGGTGGGGTAAGGGTGGGAAGGCCGGCGAGGCCGAGACCCGATGTGGGGGGGGGGGGGGTCCGGACATGGGCGCGTCCTCGCGCCGGAGCTGAGCTTGGTGGCCGCCGGGCGCGTGGTGGAGGAGGAGGAGGAGGAGGAGGAGGAGGTGGTGGCTGGGCGCGCGCACGTAGGAGCGCGCTGTAAGGCGGAGAGTAAGGTGGTGTCAGGGGCGACACGGAACAGCCCTGGCTGTTGGGACGGCAGCACCCAGGAGCCCCGTTGCCCTGTGCCGGCCCGCCGACCTTTGGAGCAGAAACCGAAAGGAGCCCGGCGCCGGGCCGGAGCCTCCCGCTCCCCTCCCCCTTGCCTTTCTTTGCCCTAGTGACGCCGGCCTAGCGCCGACTAGGCCCGGGCTCCTCCTCTGCCCGGCTCTGGACCCTGCCCCGCACCCACCCCTTTCTCCTCCGCCTCTTCCTCTCCCACCCGGGGCTCTTCCCTTTCGAGAGGCCGGGAAGTTAAACTTGTAACCTCCTCTCGACTCTTCCCGTCACCCTCGCCCTCGCTGGGCGAGCCGCGGATCGAAGTAGTTGGTGGCTTTGCTTACCCCACCCTCCCCGGATCGCGACGGTTTTCAGGGATCTGGCATCAGCAGGGTTTCTCCAAGGCCTTGGCGAGTGGCTGATCTGCTCCGTTTTTGCAAAAGGCGCCTGTGTCTGGCAGAGCCGGTGTGAGAAGAAGAGACAGACCTTCCTCGCCGCCGGGATAATCAGGAGTTTTGGCCGGACCTTTGAGTAGAGTACACATCGGGAGAGTGAGGAGCCCGGCGAAAAGCACAGACTATGGCGCTGAAACGGATTAATAAGGTAAGTTGTTGGAACTAAGTGGTCCGGACCGGGGCCTGGGAAGGAAGGAAGGCTTGGGCCCAGAGAAAAGTGTGCGGGTGGGATACAGTTCTGGAAATGCCCTTTCTTGGGCTGCCTCTTGCGTTAGCAGAACGCGGGTGTACTTTCTGAAGTGAGCTTTTGGTTGGGGGAGCTGAACGCTTTGGGCAAGAGAAATGTTAAAGGCTGAGTTTGTTTCGCTAGAATCTGCAAAATCTGGGTGAGAGCGTAGCGTTTAGGCACGCCGGTTTTCTGCCTCACGAAGTTAGTCCGGTTTGGGAAGTGGAGTTGTGTAGAGCCCTGGGGCAAATGTCATAGTACTGCTTCCTAATCTTGGTTCTTCAAAACTTATTTTAGCTGCTATGCCTATGGGCCTTCTAGGAAGAGAGGAACGAAACAGATGAAAAGAAAAGGTTTTGTTGCGAACTTTGCTGAGGATCAGAGTATTATAAACATAACCTCGGTTTGTTAAAAGGTAGTGACGAAGTCTGCCCAGAAGCTTAACCCAATCTGGGCAGTTACACAAGACCAAGTCGGGTTGGGAGGAGGTGGACTGGCACTGTTGCCACTTCCTGTGTTGTGTGGTCACCCGAAGCTATTTATCTGAGGCACCGGGAACTGATGTAAATGCCTTCAAGAGATCCGTGGGGGGTGGGGGTTGACAGTGGACAAACTGTTTTTGTTTAGAACCCTTAAAGAGGCTTGTTTCAGCAGTTCAGTTAATTTGATAATTTATCGATTTAAGTTGAAAAGAAACCAGGATTTTTCAGAACTAGTTGTCTGAGCAGAACTACCTCCTCGGATGGTTTCGTCTTATTTTCTTCCTCTTAACTTCTATCCCGCATTTTAAGATGGCGGCTGCTTTAACTTGCTCGGGTTCTTTCCGGCATCTCCTTTTCTAATAATACGAAGTAATCTGTTAAGCATTAATCATTTTTTATCTGGCTGTAGAGAGTTCAGAGATCCTCTGCTTCCAAGTCTTAAAACATAAATTCACACTCTCAGATTGGATTTGTCTTAATTTATGCGTGTGTGGTGTACGTGGTTCTTGCACAATCGAGAGGGTGGAGTATTTTACAGCTAACTTGAAAAAAATGTCATGAAATAAAAGCAGTCTTAGCAGAAAAAAAAACCAAAATAGAAAGGTGCGGTGTTAGAAACTGGCTCTTGGAGGATAGCTTTGAGAGTCTGTGAAGGGAAGGCCAGGATCTGGGTTGGCTGTGGTGGGGCTGTC